AGGGCAGTGGCTGGTGAGGCCCAGGGCTTTGCTGGAAGCCACTGAGGGCAGGTATTGGGTGGAAAAGTCCAGTATGTGATTCACCCTCCTCCCGTGCCCGCGTCAGGGAGGCCAGCCCCCCTGCCAGGCTTCTCCGTGTCCAGCCAGGACGTTGGCCGCTCCGGCACTCCTTGTCTAGTAAGAGACATAGCCCTACCTGGCCCAGGGGTGGAGGTGGGGGGGGAAGGGGACCAGGACGGGGGGGAGCTGAGGTCAGGCTGCGTGCACCCCTTCCTCTCTGCCTGAGGGAGCAGCTGTGCCCACAGGAAGGCGACCGGCTTGTGAAGGAGGGGGCTGGGGCTGGGGCTGGGGGGGAAGGGCAGAGGTCTTGGCTTCCTGAGGTTGGATGTTGGGATGTTGTAACCCCGCTTCACAGCCTTTTGGTCTCAGCCCCTCCTGTGCTTGTGCACTTCTGACCCTCTTCCCACGGACAGACAGACAGACGACAGACGAGAGACAGAGCAGCCTCCGAAGCACGTGGATGGGACTCTGCGCGGGCTGTGTGAGACCCTGCCCCTTCGGGTCCCTACGCTCAAGGCCGCGTCCCCACGACCTAGGAACGCAGGTATGTGTGGTGCGGCTGACCCCCGGGGACTGAGGTGAATTGGGACACCCCCCAATCTCTTACTGCTGCCCCACAGGGCTGAGACCTGGAAGGTAGGACTTGATGGACTTGTGTGTCTGGGGGTCAGGGGTACACAGGCCCCTGGGGCTGCAGGCAACGGGTGCGGGGACTACCAGGGGGCTCCCCAGTGACCCCAATTACCACAGCATTGGGGATCCTCCAGGACAAGCTCACAGATGGAGAGCTGACCCCCAGGGAGCTGGGTGAAAGAGGGGGGGAGAAGACAAGAGCACCCCAGGGGTGGGAAGGACAGGAGTGGCCAGGGCCTGCGATGGCTGGGGGGGGGAGACCCAGGTGGAGGCTCTGCGTGGAGGGAGGGCGGCTGGGCGTGTGTGTGTCCTGGGAGATCTGAGGGGAGGAGCTGGCAGCCCGTGGCAGGCCCTGCCGCCCACGGGGTGTGAGGGAGACGGGCTTTGGTGCCGTGCACACAGGTATGTGTGTGCAAAGGAACGTGACGGGCACCAGCCTCTGTGTGTGTGTGTGTGCGCACACACACAGGGGTGTTGGTATGTGGGTGTGAGCTGGAGCAGGAGTCGGGCCATTCCTGGGCTGGCTGGGGACAGACAGCCGCGGAACGTGCCACCGCCCATGCCCAGCCCGCCCATGCCCGCCTGAGTCCCCTGGGGGGGGGGCTCCCTCCACCTTGCCGTCTCCCGAACACTGAATACTCAGTGCACTCCAGTTTGCTCCTGGAGGATGGTGAGGCCCCATCGCCCTCCCCATCCCCCCCAGCCCAGCTTGGCCAAGCCGGGGGACAGCAGGAGGGCGGGGCGGGGGGGGGGACCACCATCAGCTCCTGGGGTGGGGCCTGAGAACAGAGAGCTGTCCAAGCCTCCTCTCCGCTGTGGGGCTCCGTCATTATGTGGTTCTTAGCAAGCTGGCCAGAGGTGGGAGGGCACGCTGTGATGGAGCTACACATCCCTCCACCCTTCCTTCCCTCCTTCCCTCTCCCTCCCTCCCTTTCTTCTTGATTTGTTGTTGTTGTTTTGAGACAGGATCTTATTATGTAGTTCTGCCTACATAGGGAACACCAAACCTCTGAGTGCTGAGATTACAGGTGTAAGCTACCATATGTGGTAGCCCTTTTAGGTGTGTGTGTGTGTGTGTGTGTCCTGAAGCTTGAACTCAGGGCCTGGGCTCTTTAGCTTTTTTTTTTTTTTCCTCCTCTCAAGGCTGGCCCTCTATCACTTGAGCTCTACTTCTAGGTCTCTGGTGGTTCACTGGAGATAAAAGTCTCACAGACTTTCCTGCCCAGGCTGGCTTAAACCAGGACCCCCGCATCTTAGCCTCCTGAGTAGCTAGGATGATAGGTGTGAGCCACCAGTGCCTGCTGGCCCTTTTAGCTTGTGTGTGTGTGTGTGTGTGTGTGTGTGTGTGTGTGTGAAAGTTTGCTAAGTGCATTTATATTTATTTATTTATTGTCGGTCATGGGGCCTGAACTCTGGTCCTGGGCGCTGTCCCTCAGCTCTTCAGCTCAAGGCTAGCGTTCTACTACTTAAACCACAGCCACTTCTGGCTTTTTCTGCTTATGTGGTGCTGAGGAATCAAACCCAGGGCCTCATGCATGCGAGGCAAGCACTGTACCACTGAGCCACCTTCCCAGCACCCCCTTTTTACTTTTGAAAAGAACCTAACATGGAGATCTTTGTGTTGCTCTTCTGTGTGTCTATATCCCCTCCTGACATTTCCTTCCCAGGTCTGTCTTAAGTCCCTCTTGCTGCAATTTTTAGCCTCTTTCCCCTTGACTTATCTTGGCTCTGAGCCAGCTTCCCTCATTCCAGCTTTCCTTCTTACCCATAAGTTTTTGTTCTTCCCAATAATCTTCTTTTCTGGTAAACATGTTTAAATTGTTATGATAAAGGTGATGAACAGAGGGGTTACAGTTACGTAAGTCTGGTAAAGAAGAATGTTTTTTATAACATAAAAAAGTTACGTCCGGGTCTACGCATCAACTCTTCTCTGTCTCCCCTCTCTCTGCCCGTATTAATGCATCCCCAGATCCTGCGCCCACACGGGATTCTGTGACTTGCTCCCCTGTCTGGCTCTCCTCTGGCTCTCGCTTCATTCATTCCTTCATTACTGCTTTTCCTTGGCAATCCTGATGTTCGGGGCTTACTCTGACCCTGTTACCCCATGTCTTGGCAAACAAAGACAATCTCTTCTTGTCTTTTACCATTCTCATCATTATCCACCCCCCCTTCCATTATCCTACTTGAGCAAGGGGCCGTTCTGTCTTCCAGGGAGACTTAAAGCTCAGAGAAGAGGTGTGACTCCCCCAAGGTCACACAGCAAGACCCAGCTTTGCCACTCTTCATCTTAGTAAGTATATTCAGCAGCTCCTCAGGAGTCTGTCTTACTGAGCAGCTATTCTATGCCACCTCCTGAGCCTCCCCGCTTTAGCCTCTGCTAGTCACGATGATAAGGGGCTTGAGAGGCTGTGGTGGGGATTAGGGATGTGGTTGGAAGAGGCCCACTGAGGTTCGTCCAGTGTCAGCACTCAGTGTTTCTCAGCCGTTAACCCTTTGTGGTTATTGTTGTGATGAGTAGGCCTGCGTTGGGCTCAGGCTTTTTGGTGTTCTTGGATCTGTGTGTCCGAGTTCATTCATTTATGCCTTTATTTGCTTGATGACAATTCGGGAGTCATTCCTCAGGGGGATGGTCCCCAGTCAGAACTGGCCACAGGAGCATGAGCTCTGGGGCCTGGCCCGCAAAGACCCCCCACCCCCATGGGTTTGCTGTCTTACTCCCTCCCCTCCCTCTTCCCTTGAGCTCCAGGTCTTGGACTTGCAGCCTAGTGGCTCTTTCCTTGTTCTCCGTCCCGGGCTGAGCTTTCCATCCATGCCTCTGTGTGGGTTCCAACACCAGAATTTTACCCCGCCACACTTTCCCCTGCCCGCACCCTCCGAGTCACCTTCAAAAATTTCCATAACCTCCAATCGCTCCTGCCCACGCCTTTCTAACTGACTTGGGCTTGGGCTGTTGCCTGGGTTAAAAGGACCAACAAATAAACACAGATTCTTCCTTAATAAAAAAAAAAAAAAAAGACTCCCCTGTGTTTCCTTAGAGCCTTAGAGAAGCATGGAGCCTTGCGAGACGGCTCAGGCTCACTTCATTCTCCTGGTGCCTCTTGGAGGTGAGGGGGGGGCGCCTTCCCCCCCACAGCGGGGCATCTCCACCTGGCACTTCCCTAGGGGGAAAGGCAGCAGGGCCTCAGGCCCTTGTGAGTCAGATCAAGATTCTGCACACAGCCTGGCATTTGACAGACCCATGAGAGGGACAGAAATAGCGCTGAGAGCGGAGGGGGGCCGGGGAGCTTTGTCTCCCGGGGCGGGTGGGGAGTAGGGAGAAGAGGGGGTGGCCTGCCTGCCCAGGATGGGTAGGTCCTGGTAGGACTCCTCTGGGGGGGGACCCATCCCCATCATCTGACCCTCTTGGGTCACCTCCTACCAGGTGAGGGTGCTCTGTGACCTTTCTGGCACAAGCCGCGTCCCCTTCCTGCACAGCTCGTGTCGGAGATACAGTGGGGAGGGGGGACAAGGAAGGAATGGCTTCCTCAGGCGGCTGGCACTTACTGCTGGTGCTGCCCAAGGTTCCCCCCAGCCTTGTTCAGAGGCCCCACCTTCTGCTTGCCTTCCGATCGCTTGAACGCCCAGCCCTGGTGGACTCCAAGCGAGAAGGATCCATCACAGCGTGCCTGGCCTGGAGCTCCAGGCACCCACTCGGCTACCCCTGCCCTTTGACCCCAACCCCCCCCCACACACACACACAGCCTATGATCCCCTCTGACCTGGAGGCCAGCAGCTGGGCTGGTGTCACTTGGAGAACACAGACCATCTGGGCGGAGGGGCTGGTGAGATGGTGGCTGCCCATATAGATCAAAAAGGCACTTGAGCTACAGAACCCAGGCTTGGGTTTAGGTCCCAGCTCTTCCTTATTGGTCTTGAGCAAGCAAGTCACTTGAGCTGCAAACCTGGCCAGGTCAGAGGTGCTTCCTGGATGGGAAGCGGGGTCTCGTGGCTCCTTGGAGCAGAGTGGAACTTTAGGTGGAAATGCCAGGCAGAGTTTGGGAAGGAAAACAATATAGCAGGTTGTGGGGCAGGGCGGGGGGTGGGGGGGCATGGTGCAGGTAGGTGGTAGAGCACCGGCCTAGCAAAGCATAAGGCCCCGAGTTCAAACACCAGTACCACCACCAGAAAAAAGCAGCAATATGCGAACAGCAAAGACTGGGCAGAGGGCAGAATGGGCTGACGCACATACGCACCAGAGTTCACGGCTCCTTCCTTCTCCCCCAGCCTTGGCCTCTCTCCTCCCACCCTGCCCCAGCCACTCGGTGGAGATGGAGAGGAAAGTGGCAGTCCACGAGGCTGGGGTTCCTGTGATCTCCTGGGTCCCTGAGGAAGGAGAGACCACGGAACAAGAAAGCGAGGACCGGGCGAAGGACCGGGGCCAATGGACCAACAAGATGGAGTTCGTGCTGTCCGTGGCTGGGGAGATCATCGGCCTAGGCAACGTCTGGAGGTTTCCTTACCTCTGCTACAAGAATGGAGGTGGTGAGTTCACCTGGCATCGCGGGCAGGGTCTGCCCAGACCCCTCGTTCTGGCCTGAGGGGGAGCTGGTGGGCTTTAACCTAGCAGCCCTTGTGTCAGCTCACACATTCATTCTTACCTCTTGAAAGAATTCCATGTATTCTTCCTGGAGAAGTGTGTATTATAAATTCCAGAAATATTCCGGGGGGGGGGGAAGAAACACTCAAATTTAGGGATTCTCCTAAACAATACACACACACACACACACACACACACACACACACACACACACACACATTGTTTAGGAGAATCCCTACCATATACATATAAATACCATATATATATATATATATATATAGTATTTATTTATTTATGCCGGTCCTGGGGCTTGAACTCCAAGCCTGGGCACTGTCCCTATCCCCCTCCGTACTCAAGGCTAGCACTCTACCACTTGAGCCACAGCACCACTTCTGGCTTTTTCTGAGTAGTTTATTGGAGATAAAAGAGTCTTACAGACTTTCCTGCCTGGGCTGGCTTTGAATTGTGATCCTCAGATCTCAGCTTCCTGAGTAGCTAGGATGACAGGCGTGAGCCACCAGTGCCTGGCAAAAAAATACATGTTTTTAAAAGTGGAATCTGACCTGGAAATGTAAAAGCTTTTCTTTTTTTTTTTTTTTGTGGTCATTCATGGGGATTGAACTCTGGGCCTGGACACTATTCCTGAGCTCTTTTTTGCTCAAGGCTAGTCTCTACCACTTTGACCTACAGAGCCAATTATGGTTTTCTGGTGGTTCATGAGAGATAAGAGTCTTTCAGACTTCCCTGCCGGGCTGGATTTGAACTATGGTCCTCAAATCTCAGCCTCCTAAGTAGCTGGGATGACAGGTGTGAGCCACTAACCACCCATCTGCTTTTTTTTTTTTCTTGTGGGGCATAACACCTATTTCTACAGCCTTTCCATTGTGCTAGGCCTTACAAACAATCTAGAAATGATTTCTGGTTGCTAGGAGGAGATCATCAGGTCCTGTGCTGTTTTTCTTGGAGGGTCTTGAACACGGTGATTCTAGATCAGTCTTCCCCCAGTCACAGTAGGCCAACTACTAGGGAAAAACAGGCTGCCACCCCTGTACCCTGATCCCTCATTTTTAGTGAGATCTGGATCCCAATCTTGGGTCCAGGAAGGGGATAATCCTAGTTACTCAGGAGGCTAAGATCTGAGGATTGCAGTTCAAAGCCAGCCTAGGCAGAAAAATTGGTGAGACTTCTACCTCCAATTGGCCACCAAAAAAACAGAAGTGGAGGTGTAGCTCCAGCCTTGAGCAAAAAGGCCCTGAATTCAATCCCCTGGACTAGCCCAAAAAGGGAGGAGAGGGGAAGAGATTAGTTTCTTTATTACAGACAACCTAGAAATGGATTTATACAGGTACACAATGTCACAGACTAATACAAATATAATTTTTTTTTGCTTTAGGCAAGAGTTATACATGGTAATAATAAGGTTTATCTCAAACCAATGATATGCTCTGATCATAGTTAAATGCAGTTTTTATTAATTTATGTAGGGAAATTTTCAGTAGAGAAAAGTCTTTCAAAAAAAAGTAGAAAAAGTCAGTGCAGTGGTTCACACCTGTAATTCCAACTGCTTGGGATTATGCTTGCATAAATAGGAGGACTGCAGTCCAGGCTAGCCCAGGAAAAATACCATGAGACCCTCTTTGGAAAATAGCTAAAGCAAAAAGGGTTGGAGGTGTGGCTCAAGCTAGAACACCTGTCCAGCAAGCAGGAGGCCCCAAGTTCACACCCTAGAAACACCCCCCCCAAAAAAAGTATAAAGTAGAAAACCATAGTACAATTATTGGTCCAGCTACAAAAAAGGAAACTACAAAACGGATCATCCTGAAGAAATGGTTCCCCCTTAAAGAGAACAGGTGCTAACCGTTGAGCGTAGGGTGGAAAAGCCCTGCAGGGAAGAGGGAGGAGAGAGGAGAAGAAAAAGGCCTAATTTAGAGAGAGAAGAGGATGTGAGGGGGAGATTTCCAGTCAACTCCTAGCTTGAAGCCATTATGTCTGTAGACATCTCCCCATGGCTGTTCTGGGGCTGCCCACGAACTATGGGCCAGGCAGAGCCTCAGGATAGAGAGACCCTGTCTGAACACAAAGCAAAACCCAGAAATCTAGAAGGAAGGCTGTGGGGCCTGGCTCGGCGGTGGAGGGGTAGCCTGGCACACACAGGGGGCCCTGAGAGGAAGGGAGAGAGAGGGAGGGGGGAGGGAAGGGAGAGGAAGAGACACTCTTAGGATCAGCCAGCCAACCTGGGTTGGAGGATGGACTGTGTGTTTGTTTGTGCCTTGGATTTTTGCATCAGTTTTGGCCTCTGTTATCTTGTCTCTAAAATGGCGGCGGTCACGCAGGTCCTATGCAGTGGCAGGTTGTTTCGTGAGCACTTTTCTGTTGACCAGACACGCAATGAGCACCCGACAACTGCCAAGTATTCTTTGGCAGTGAGGCCCGGGCGCTTTGTGCATCCCAACCTGAGTGCAGGGGCCCAGGGCTGCCTGCCTGCCATCCGGGGTTCTGATCCAGGCAGATTGGAACCCAGCAGAGGGGAATGCTGAGAACTATTAGCGGGAAACAGTGTCTGTCTGAGGTGTTCTTGTTTGTTTATTTTTCTCCCAAATGTGTCAAACCTGATAGCTTAATAAGCATATCAGATCATGCAGAACATATGTCTTGTTCCAAAAATAATACACAAACAAGATTTGTGAGGAAAAAAAATCAGAGCCGGGCGCTGGCAGCTCACGCCTGTTAATCCTAGCTACTTGGGAGGATCTGAGGAGCCTGGTTTGAAGCCAACCCAGGCAGCAAAGTCCCCCGTGATACTCTTAATCTTAAAAACTGGAGGTGGAGCTGTGCCTCAAAATGGTAGAGTGCTGGCCTTGAGCAAAAATGGCTCAGAGACAGCACCTAGGCCCTGAGTTCAGTGGGAAAGCCAAAGCCCTATCCCCTGGTGGCCCACAGGCAGGACGAGGCCCCTCTGGGCCTTGAGGCAGAGGCTCTGAAGGGCAGGCCCAGGCGCAGCGTGGGGCGCAGCCCTCATGCCCCTTCTCTCTCCTCCACAGGCGCCTTCTTCGTCCCCTACTTCATCTTCTTCTTCAGCTGCGGCATCCCCGTGTTCTTCCTGGAGGTGTCCCTGGGCCAGCACACCAGCCAAGGGAGCGTCACAGCCTGGAGGAAGATCTGCCCCCTCTTCCAGGGTGAGTCTTCCTGAGCAGCATTTGCCCATCGTCCTCCCTCCCCTTCCTGTGCAACATCTGCCCGTCATCCCTCCCCTTCCTGTGCAACATCTGCCCATCATCCCTCCCCTTCCTGTACAACATCTGCCCATCATACCTCCCCTTCCTGTACAACATCTGCCCATCATCCCTCCCCTTCCTGTGCAACATCTGCCCATCATCCCTCCCCTTCCTGTGCAACATCTGCCCATCATCCCTCCCCTTCCTGTGCAACATCTGCTCATCATCCCTCCCCTTCCTGTACAACATCTGCCCATCATCCCTCCCCTTCCTGTACAACATCTGCCCATCATCCCTCCCCTTCCTGTGCAACATCTGCCCATCATCCCTCCCCTTCCTGTACAACATCTGCCCATCATCCCTCCCCTTCCTGTACAACATCTGCCCATCATACCTCCCCTTCCTGTGCAACATCTGCCCATCATCCCTCCCCTTCCTGAGCAACATCTGCCCATCATCCCTCCCCTTCCTGTGCAACATCTGCTCATCATCCCTCCCCTTCCTGAGCAACATCTGCTCATCATCCCTCCCCTTCCTGTGTAGCATCTGCCCGTCTTCCCTCCCCTTCCTGTGTAGCATCTGCCCGTCATCCCTCCCCTTCCTGTGTAGCATCTGCCCGTCATCCCTCCCCTTCCTGTGTAGCATCTGCCTGTCTTCCCTCCCCTCCTGTGTAGCATCCGCCCGCTTCCTTAACCCTTGCCCCCCACCTCACACTCCATCCACTGCTCAGCCTGGGCTAACTGGACAGACAAGCTTCGTGGGGCCCGAAGCTTACACAGCTTGGGGATGAGGACCCACAGCATGGAAACCAAGTTACCAAAATCACAAAGAGCAGATTTGGCGCAGGTCTTGGACGGGGTCTCTGAGCCTCCTCTGTGGGTCTGTAGGGCTGAGTGTGCGCTGAGCCTCCCCCAGTGCCAACCCTGATGCTGCAGACAGACAACCAGAAAACTCAGTCGAGAGGGATCCCTTGGGCCAGGGGACGGACCCCTGTCCAACGAGGGTGTGGCCTCTGGTCTCTAGAACTCAGTACAAAGAGGCCAGAAGGGGCAGGGAGGGACAGGCCCTGAGGCTGGCTGCCAGAGAGCCTAGCAGTGGAGCTGTGCACAGTGGTGCACATCTGTAATCCCAGCACTTAGGAGGCCAGAGCAGGAGGATTGTGAGCTTGAGGCTATTTGGGGCTCCATCGTGAGATTCTGTCTCAACAACAAACCAAGTAGAGACGGCAGAGGAGAGAGGAGAAGGAAGGGAATGGGAAGGAACGGGAATCCATGAATGGTTTCATGTCAGTGACAGAACCCCCGTGGTCCTTGTCCTGAGCCCACGGCTGGCGGCTTCCATGCCGTCCCTGCTTGCGTTAACATCACCCTCTTGCGCTGTGTGTTTCTCCCCCACCCCTGTTCCGGAAGGCATCGGCCTGGCGTCTGTGGTCATCGAGTCTTACCTGAACATTTACTACATCATCATCCTCGCCTGGGCCCTCTTCTATCTGTTCAGCTCCTTCACCTCCCAGCTGCCCTGGACCAGCTGCTCCAATGCCTGGAACACAGGTAGACCCCCGTGCGCCAGCCCCCACCCCCACCCCGGTCACCATGGTGATGGCTGCCGCAGTGGCCGTGGCAGGCTCTCTCCGCCTCCTCCCGTGTAATAGTTCCTAGGCATCTACTATGTGCCAAAGAGGTGGAGACAGCCTAGGGGGGCAAAAGGGCGAGGAGGGGGGGGGTGGGGATATCGCACTGGTGTGGGGGGGTGTGGGAGGGAGAGAGGAATCAGAGGGGCAGCACTGGAGGGAGCCGGCCGTGGGGGCTGCCTGGAACCAGGGGCCCTTCTACACCCAGCCCTGGCGCTCTCGGAGATGGCGCCCCCAAAGAAAGCTCTGGGGCCTAGCCATGGTGGAAGGCAAGGCGCTGGGGGGAGGCTTCGGGTTTGAGGAGCTCCTCATCTCCTCCGTCCCTGACCCCTCCCCTGCCTGTGCCCGCAGAGCTCTGCGTGAACTTCCTGAACCACTCCGCAGCCGTCACGCACTCCGAGAACTTCACCTCGCCCGTCATAGAATTCTGGGAGTAGGTGCCACCTTCCAGGCCCCCTGCCCCCCCCCACACAGGGGAAACCTGCGCGTCTGAGCTGTGCGTGGTCGGGATGTCCCGGGGGTGCATGTTTGAGACTCTGGGCACGCTGTCTAGCCTTCACCCACACCACTGAGAGACAAGGGAGTCTGCCCCCCCCACACACACACCCATGCTTGCCCACCGACACTCCAAGCCCACACCCAGACCTGGATTTTCCACCCAGGCCTGCTTACATTCCCCCATTCACTGTCCTCCTGCACGGTCAGGTCCTGCGTTCCCCCGAGGTCCAGGACCCCCATCCCTGGACACACACATACCTCGGGGTGCTGACAGCCTGGGGATCTTCCAAACCCTGTCCCCACCAGCCAGGGGAGTGTTCACACTACGGATGTGTGCCAGCAAATCCTCCCACCATCGTGCACCCCTCTACCCCCCGCCTGCCCGCGTGTGTGTCCCTCTTGCTTCTCCCCAGCCTGCCTGTGCCCCACTGGCTGCACCAACCCCAGCTCGCTCACCTACGTCCTCACCCGCATCTGCCTGGCTGGCCAGCGTGGGCGCTGCTCACACCCACTTGCTTTATGTCATCTTTATGTCCCCCTGTGCATATATAAACATACACGCACCTGTACATACACCCGAACACGTACCCACCACGTAAATGAATATCCACTCTCCACCACTCCTGACAAACCTCACACGCCCTCACCCTCTCTCTTTATCTCTCTGTACAACAGTTAGACACAGATGCCCGTGGGATTACGGTGATGGGGTCCCTCCCACCCCCAGCCAGGGTCCCTGACACCACAGGTGGGGGCGCAGGGGGGGCTGGCCTCCCCCGGGAGGGAGGAGCGGGAGGCGGGGGGGAGGGAGGCACGGGATGGGGTCAGCTCTGAACACACTGGGGGGACAGTGGCCGTTTGTCCCTTCGACCATTCACCCGGGTGTTTGTTCTTCCCAACCCACCAGGAGACGCGTCCTGGGCATCACCTCCGGCCTCCACGAGCTGGGGGCCCTGCGCTGGGAGCTGGCGCTGTGTCTCCTGCTCGCCTGGATCATCTGCTACTTCTGTATCTGGAAGGGGATCAAGTCCACGGGCAAGGTGAGCCTCGCCAGCAGCCCCGGCCGGCCGCAGCCCGCCCTGCGCATGGGCACTCCAAGGGGTCCCTCCTCCCAAGAGATGAAAGGAAGTCCTGGGGTCCCCCCTGGTGGGGTGCAGGGCGGTGGCAGGACGGCTTGGCAGTTTTGGCCCGGGATAAGGAGAGGTTTTCTTTTTTGGTAGACTTCAAAAGGCCCGTTTACATAAATAATACTCAATCAAAAAGCATCAAAATCTCGCAGCCGGAGCTAATCTGTGTCTAGGCGGCCAGTGGGTGGCCAGTTAGATCTGCTCGTCCCTGGGGACCTTGGTGGCTCTGCTTACTCATTCCTCTCAAGAGTCTGTCACTGCGTGTGTGTGTGTGTGTGTGTGTGTGTGTGTGTGTGTGTGTGTATTGTGCTGTGTGTACGGTACTCAGGAGCCACACTCACAACTGCTTATTGTACATGATTCCACCTGAACGGGAGTCTCAGTACACAGAGCTCCAAGCAGAACTGCCTGGCTAGACGGGGCGAGACTGAGCTCCGCTGTGGCGTGAGTTCAGGGGGAGGGGGGGGAGGGGTTATTATTGCTTCCCACCCAGAGACCAAGGACGCCGCGAGCTTTCACCAGCCAGGCCTGGCAGGGGCTCAGGCCGCCAGTCAGGCCCTTTGCCTGGCTTGTTGTACAAGCGAGATGTGGGGGTAATGACGCACAGGGCGGTCCTGGGTTGGGACACAGGACCCCTGTGACTCTGAGGTTCCCCATGGGCGGACTGACACCCTTCCTCAACCTTCACCTTGGGAAAGTATCACGGAAATCTCCCTGCCCATCCCGCACCCTCCCTACACCCCCCCCCATGGGAGGGGAGATGGCAGCCAGGGTAAAGGATGGAGGGACACCAGACTGCAGTGTGTGTGTGTGTGTGTGTGTGTGTGTGTGTGTGTGTGTGTGTGTGCGCGCTTGTCAACCTTGGGGCTTGAACTCCAGACCTGGAAG